GGGCCCATCAGGGGGTTGAGGAGCTCCCCCCTGTTTTTGCACAGAGCAGGGCCAATCAGGGGGTTGAGGAGCTTCCCTTGTGTCACTCACAGAGTAGGGCCGATAAGGGAGTTGGGGCACCACCCCCTGTCACACACAGAGCAGGGTGGATCAGAAGGTTGGGGTGCTGCACCCTGTCACACTCAGGGCAGGGCCAATGGGGAGGTTATGGCTCTACCCTGTCACACACAGAGCAAGGCCCGTGGAGGGGGGTTGGGGCGCCACCCTCTATTACCCACAGAGCAGGGCCGATCAGGGGGTTGGTGCGCCGCCACTGTCACACTCAGGGCAGGGCCGATGGAGAGGTTATGGCTCTACCCTGTCACACACAGAGCAGGGCCCGTGGGGGGTGGGGGGGTGGGGCGCCGCACCCTGTCACACAGAGCCGCAGAGCGATCAGGGGGGTTGGGGAGCTCCCCCCTATCAGGCACAGAGCAGGGCTGATCAGGGGGGTTGGGGCGCCCTTCCCCTGTCATGAAACAGAGCAGGGCGGATAGGGGAGGCTGTGGCCCCCGCCCCCTGTCACACACAGAGCCGCAAGGCAAATCAGGGGGGTTTTGGGCGCTGCCCTCCCTGTCACGCTGATCCCGGGTGCGGTTCTACTGATCCCGTTGCCAGGAGGCATATTACCCTTTACTATATAGGATAGAAGCCTGGTGCACGGGTGGGGGCCCGGCTGGTTTGCCCTGAAGGGTGTCCTGGATCAAGGTGGGGGTCCCCACTGGGGTGCCTGGCCAGTCTGGGTGAGGGGCTGAGGGCCGTTTTCTGGCTGGCGGGTCACTGAAGCTCCCAACCGCTCCTTTTTTTCTTTTTTTTTTTCTATTCTGAGCCAGCTTTAGCTCTGAGGCCTCGCTGCTGAAAACATTGATACAATGTTGCGGTCAGGCTGGCTGAAGCCCGTCAGCCGGTTTCTGGGGTTTTGTTTAGCTTCTATATTTGCAACATAGTTGCTTAGAGTTGCAGCTGAGAGGCCAGCAGCGGCAGGCGGGGAACGTTGGAGTCCGCAGTCACTGGAGCAAGCAAACCTCCCTGTTCGCTTCAGTGCATGGCTGCCGGCCGCCATCTTGGCTGACAGTTAATTTGCATAAGGATATGCTGATTAGCCAATGGGAAGGGTAGCGGTCGTATGCTAATTAGCATGTTTCTCTTTTATTAGTGTAGATAGGAAAGAAGCAAAAGGAAGGCCAGATATTATAGGCATGTCATTTGGGGCAGCTTCACTGGGAAGTTTCAATTTCACACTCCCCATGGGATACTGGCCTAGTCCCTTCAAAACACTAGGGGAAGAAATCCAACAAAGAGAAGACAGACACATGCCCAGTAAAGTTGGGGTGACATAGAAAAGGTATTTGCCTGTCAATCACATCTGGGGACAGAGATGGTTGACCAGAATGGGTGTGGCCACTGCAAGTTCATCAACATTTGGAGATATATATCTATATCTATATATCTCTACATATATCTATATCTATATCTATATCTATATCTCTATCTCTATCTCTATCTCTATCTCTATCTCTATCTCTATCTCTATCTCTATCTCTATCTCTACCTATACCTATAAGGAATTCTATCTCTTGTTGCTTTTGTTGCTTGGAGTACACTCTTTTGATTCACCGGTATTTGCCCCTATGTTCCACAGCTATTTGAACCCCACACACAATGGATTCACAGACTTTAGTGGGGAAACCAGGTAAACTAGCCTGATGCTGGACTGGACCCGGCACCAACATTGAAAGGAAGCTCTGAACACTGACTCTGATTTTAGCTCTACTAAAGCCCCAGCTACTGAATTCCAATCTCTTCTATGACTGGACTAAGGGAAATGGACACTTGAAAACTCAGAGGTGCAATTCCACGGAAATAAAGGTTCCTACAATATCTCATCTTCCCATGAGGAACTCCGGAAATGCTTATCCTAGCGGTACCAAGAACCCCGCCCCCACAAGCAACCTGTGGAGACGAGCCCCTCTCCTATTCTGTAACAACAGGGCAGGTAATATGAGGCCTGAGAATTGGCCACTGAGTGAGGATCAAGGAGATCCCTGTTTGGGATGGACAGCATTGCTAGGGATAATTTGGTTGGAATGGGTTCTGGGAAGAATGGGGGGAGAGTGTTTTGGAGCCAAAATGAAAGCATAGACAACGCTTTCCAAGAGCTTTGCTGTTGTAAAAGGAAAGAGGAAAAATGGGCAGTAGCCAGATGGGAAAGTATAGTTAGGAAAGAGACATGTTTTCTTTATTTTATTTTTTTAAAGAAAAAGGATTTTTAGGATGAGAGAAATAGCAGCCTACTTTATGTGGGTAGGAAATATCAAGCAAAAGAGAGAGAAAAGCCATAGAGAAGGGGAGCCCTCGGGGAACTGCCCTCTGCAGAGGAGCAGGGAGGATGGGATCTAGAGCACGTGGGGCGGGTGGGCCTTCGCTCGGAGCACAGATGGTCCATCCATAGTAACAGAAGTGAGGACGGAGATCCAAGCACAGATGCACGTAGGTGGGATGCTGTGGTCGTGGGAGCTTGCGGAAATTCTTTTTTGATTGCTTCTATTTTCCCAGAGAAATAGGAAGCCCTGTCAGCAGCTAAGAGTAAGGAGCGGGGAGGAGGTGTGGAAGGTTTGAGGAGACAAGGTATGAAGTAAGTTGTCCCAGGAACGGAGAGGGAATGAGTCGGGAAATGCCTTTGGAGTGCCAGCAGCCTGAAGGGCCCACCTGGGTTAGTCATCGCGCCCGGGGTGATTTTCTGAGCCACAGTCAGCTGCATGTGTGTGGGCAGGAGCTAGGTGGAGCGTGGGCTTTCACCAGGGCTGTGCTTTAACCAGGGGAGTAGGACAAAGTGAGACCTAGATGAGGTGGGCAGCGTGTGTACAAGGGGTGATCTGAATGACGGAGAACTGAATTTAGCAGAGTACAAAGGGACCTAATGGATGGCACGGGGAGGATGCGGGCAGTAAACTGGCAGTAGGACAGGGCACAGAGGAGATGAAGACTTGGGAGTGGGGCGACTTTGCGTGGGCGGTGAGATGCTGAGAAACAGACTGTGGAGGGGTTTCAGTTACTGGTAATGACAAGGTCTAGAGACTGTGCCTGTGCGGTGAGTGGCTATGTTAGGGTGCAGGATAGGATCGCTCAGCGAGAGGAGAGGCTAGGATATTGGAAGATCACCTACAGGTTACTGAAGTTATTAAAAGTAATGGCTTGTGTTATCATCCAGAGAATAAAATGTCCAAGAAAGGAAGGAAAGTCATCTAGGTAGGGTCAGTAACTGTAGTGAGGATGGTTAGAATCTGATGACTATTCTCATGATTCCTTAAAGACGGAAAGACTTACTTTGTCAAAGCAATGCTACTAATCAACACTAATTAGGTTCAATCACTCTACGTGTATTATAATATGCACTAGTTTTGTGGGCACATTTTGAGCTTAGTACTTAAAAAACCTGGATTATCAGCTATGTGACCTTAGACAAGGCACATAACCTTTCTCTGCCCAAAGTTTACTTACTTGCAAAATGAGAATAATAATACCTATTTCATATCCCCAATGTCAAGTGCTTAGCAAAATTAAGTACTTAGGACTGAAAGATGGCTAAATCCTCAAGTGTTATTAGCTATGATTATTGTTGTTAGCTTTCTAGATAACTGAGTATCAGGGCATCTGAAAAACAGAAAAGCTTATAGAGGTGTAGCTTGTTTTCCAGAAGAAGCATGTTTCTACATACATATAAGTTAATTTTAAAAAATAACAAAAATATTGGTCAAAACATAAAATGAACTCTTGAAAAATATATTTATCTGAATTTTTGGGACTGGGATGCGAAGATAATATTCTCAAACATTCTTGCTGACATATTGATGAGTCCTCTATTGTGCTTTTCTCAATTTACTGCATTTTCAAGTGAGCCCAATATAGCAGAGCAGAATACTGATACCAAATTGATGAACTGATTTTTCTGCTTTTGAGAAAAGTCTATAATTTTAGTTATCCTAACCATGATTCGCATTTCTCATATCACCAAAGCTTAGCTTACTATAGGCACCTAATAAATACATTTTGAATGAATGAACATTTACCTTATAATTGACAATTACATTGCCTTATGAGTCTATGGCTTCAAATACCTATGCCCAGATCTAGTGTGAGTTCCTACCTCAGTAAAAAGATCATTCTGGAAACTTGTCTGGAACTTCATCTTAGCCCCTACCTGCCTCTGCTCGCTTCCTATTGACTTCTCATCCCGTTCCCTAGCTTTCAGTCTAGTACTATCTGGTTTTCAGTCTCAGATAACCATCATCTCTGATTCCCCTTCCCCTCTTCCCCACTCCAGTTCACTTCTGGTTTTCATGGTTGTTTACTGCTCTTTGGCAGAGAGATGCTTCCGGCTGCACACTCAGTGGTTGGCACAGGGTCTCTCTCTCCAGGGAGCCAGGAGAGACAGGAAGAACTTCAAATCCTATAATCACTGAGAAGACTAACAGCATGCATCCAATTCAAATCCATACTCCATCAGGGGCAGGTGCCGCCTAGAGTATACTCTGAATTAAGATTTCTGCTACATCTCTCATGCTAGTAAACAGCATAGTTAATATTGTAGGGCATTTTCTCTTTAGCGGAGCATTTCAATTAGATGTAAGTCTTTTAATGAACCACAAACACATGCTGTTTCTCAAACCTCTGGATTGGAGGCACCTTCAGCAGTCTCCCTGGTGCATATTAGCTGAACTGACACATTCACCCGCAATCTATAGGCATTCTACACTTACTGGTACAATCCTATGGGACTCCTTTTGTATGAAATATTCACATTGGTTAAGCATTGTTTTAATTGTTACAAGATTTACATGAAAACAATTTGGAATTGTCTTTAGAGTGAATTGCTAATTGCTTAAAGTGGTGTTGTTAGTGTAACACAGCTTTAGCATTTCCCCGTATTTTTAATATTCTGGGAATCTCAACATGGACGTGACCCAGGCTTTTCTGGAAGCCAAAATCCAATGAATGACAGTGTAACCAGGTGGGGAAACAACCACCAGCCTGCCTCCACCTGAATGCAATAGTGTGGAACTAGGCAGGTCGCAGTACAGACTGATCCCATTAATGGGCCTACTCCAAATACGCACGGCACAATCCTTTATTCCATTCGGCTTATTCTACAGTGAGTTTCAGTTTGGCACTAACGTCATTTTTTGGTGGATTTTTTTGTTGTTATGTGACATCTACAAAATCATGACTTCTATAAAAGCAATAACTAAATATTTGTGTTCCGGGTTATTTAAAAGTCACAAAGCCTCGGAGCTGTATACACAGTGCAACATCTCTGAATCAGTAGGAATGGACGCTTGGGAAGCTGGTCAGTGTGAGTTCTAAACAGGCCACATCTCCACACTACATTGTGCTGGAAGGTCTCCTGATCAGCGTTTTTACCTTGTGCTGCTCACGCTTCCGCTGTATTGTGTTGGCGGTTTCCTCATGGACCTGCTGAATGGTGATTTCCTCCCGCAGGGCCACCTCTGCCCTGTACAACCAGGCACCTATAGTGCCCAGAGGTGCAGGGAGAGATTTATCCAGCTGTATGTGCCAATCAAAGAGCTGACATGCAAAAGAAGAAAGACCGAATTATCTCTAATACAGAGGCAATTCCTAAAATCCCCCCAAATGATTTTAAAGCCTACATAAAGCTTTACGTTAATCATTTCAGGTTAACTAAATAAATATCAAGTAAGAAATTCTCTGTGTTCAATCTGATGCTTTGCGAATGGGGAGGAAATTGCAGTACAAGGGCTGGGGTGCGGACATGCTCAGGGATGCAGGAATTTACGCACCAGCTCATGTGGATCACCCCACATGCCAGGAATCAGAAAAACCAGGGACATCTAGACATCTCTGGAGGCAGACAAGTGGTCAGGATTCTTTTTATATAATTCTGAACCATGTCTGCATGTCTTCCACTTCAGTCAGTTCTCAAACACCTTTTTCCAGCTTGATGGAATGCCAGGTAGAATGGGGTAAGGTACTTAGAAACTAAGCCAGTATTTGATGAAATCTATGGCAAAAATAGATTATAGAAACAAAGAAAATAGGGAAGTTCAAGGCAAATAGCCCCATTAGTGATAGAAATGTCACAGGTTTTGAAATCTTGGTCTTTAAGTTTGCAAAAGTTACTGAGCAATTTTCCTTCAGGTTCATGAAAGACCAGATAAGAAGATAGGTTAAATTAAAGAATATAAAAATGAATGTGAATATGTGGAGATTATTAACTATTGATGAAACATGGTTATGGAAAATGGAGAAGTTGTGAAGGCTCCAGTGTTAACCAACTCAGAGTTAATTTGTGTAAAGTGGGAAGTAGCCCTCATGGTCTTCCAAGATTTCAGTCTGTCATGTGGTCAATGGTGACAGCCCATGTAGAGCAGGTGAGGCAGGACAGGTGTTATATTAGCACTTCCATTAACTTAAAGGACAAAGATTCTCCCACAGTAAAGCCTTTCCTACCTCAGGCAGAGGCAGGGGACCTGATGCAACATCACAGTGTGGAAAAGGATGATGGAAAATGTTCTTGACTAAACTACGTGAGCCCCATGAAGTTAATCGTGGGGGAACTCACCCTGGAGGACACTCGATCCCAGGACTGTTTCACCAATGCTTGGTCAAGTGACAATTTACCGTCTCTCTGTAATGGTTGTATTAAATGTTCAATCTGTTTCCTTTTCATTTCATATTGGACTCTGAAGTGCTTGAATGACTAGAAGAGGAAAAACAGCAACAATATGGCAACGAGTCAAAAAAAGCAAAGGAAACGACATTTCCTAAATAACAACCTTTTATATTTGGATAACACTCAATATATGTTGTTGATAATAACAATAACAGATATGATAAGAATAGCAGCTACCATTCATCATGCCCTGACCATGAGCCAGGCCCCAGGCTAAGTACATGCTACACATTTTATAGTAAATTAACGCATCCTAAAAGGTGACGCCATGTTCACATGTGAATTGAAAAGACCGCTAACATGCGCAGTGATGTTAAAGAACATGAGGCTGGCCCTGCAGAATTTATCAGATAACAAACACATCTAAAAGAATGTCTAAATCTCAGAATGAACGCACATGTAAATCTACGTAAAGAACACTGGGGGGAGATGGTGAATCAATATTTTGCCACAGGTACTCCTATTCCTGTAACTTAATGTAATAAAAAATTACCAAAACATAAAATCAATCTTCAATTTTATTCCACAAAATTCTATGCATGGAAAAACTGGAAAATACCCTATTGTTTGAAAGTGGAAACAGATAGAAAATGTTGATGACACACAAACCCACAAACCAAAGGAAATGTTCCCTCTGCTCAGATTTCAGATGATCTCTAACCCTATTTCACAAAACTGGTGATCACCAGGGGAGTGTTTCTGTTTTGTGCTTTTCTTATCCTTTGGTTCCGTTTTATAAAATAGCACCTGTGCAACAGGTACTTTTACAACTTGAAATTTCGTTCATGACAATTTATGCTAAAACTAAAACTCACTAATGGACCAAATAAGTTCATGTACTCTATCCTTGCCTTTCTATTCTCAATTTACTGGTTTAATCATTTATTTTAATGGAGCTCGTCCCAGAAAATTTTATTTTTTGGGGGGAAAGATTACATTGAATTTCAAAGCAAAAAAAAAAAAGCATATCCTACACATTGTCCGCTTTGCCAACTTTATCAAATGTCGTATCGGTGGCATCATCCATCTAAATTCAGGCACACCTTGTAGATATGGTTATATGAAGTCACACACTAATGCAATAGAGAAATCTTTTATTGTTTGCCATGTTGACTCTCACATCATGATACCTTTTTTGTAGTGCAAATGATTGAAATATAATGTACACTATAGTATAGCTTTGCTACTAAAATGCAACACTACCTTAAATAGGATGAAAATGTCAATGCTGCATAGAATGAGTCACAATTTCATTGGGAAACCTGTCGCATGATTTTGTGTCTTGGAAGTAGAAATTGGAAGCCAAGTCCAGTTAATAACAGGGTAACAAGACTGGGGCAAACAACCACCAGCCTGGCCTCACCTGAATGCAATCATGTGGAACTAGGCAGGTGGCTGTAGAAACTGGTCCCATTAATGGGCCCACTCCAAATACACATGGCGCAATCCTGTATTCAATTCTGCTTATTCTATAGTATTTTTTAATTTGGTACTGAAACCATTTTTTGGTGGATTTCTTTTGTTATGTGACATCTGCAAAATCATGACTTCTATAAAAACAACTAGGTATTTGTGTCCTGGGTTACTTATAAGACTCTGAGTTCTGGAAAAGTCACGCAGTCTCAGAGCTGTATACACAGCGTGGACCCACACAATTCAAACCACTTATTTATGTAGAAACACAATTATTAAATCACATGCAAGCAAGATAATGCGCATGATTTCTTTATGGACTTTTTTTCATTCATATCACTTGAAATATTAAACATAGATTAAATGACATATATGAATCTTACTCATGCAAAGCTTTTAAAAAAACTGAAGTCTCTTTTTCATGCATTACCTGATATTTATCCTGCAAGTTTGCTTCTGTCATCTGTGCCCTTGTCAAATCTCTTTCGAATTGCTCTATCCACACTTTCGTTTCCTTCAGCATTAGCCTGTCTTCTCTCTAGGAACCGGCAGATGTTATAATTTTATTAGTAACTGTGCATTTAATTGCTGATTAATACCAGATTGATCGTAGAGTAGATGTAATATTCAATCATTCAATTGTCTCTGAAAACTCTTCTCTCTCCCCACCATCACGCCTTATTGGAGAATAAAAATCAAGAGTGAATTCTGTAAAAGTACATTAATTTTATTTGAATACTAAAATTATCTCTATTTTTTCTCTCAAACACACACACACACACACACACACACACACACTAATTTAATTAAGAAAATGTTTACAAAAAGGGAATGTCAAAGGGAATGGTTGAAGTAGAAAAGCATATTGGGTATATTCCCAGCAAGAAAATTTTACTAAACCGTGTGAACTTTACTAAACCATGTGACCCAATATTGGGCAGAAGAGATGCGATTCACTCAGGATTATAAATTAACTGAATACTTACCTATTTCAATTAGTGACTTCCTTCTTAATTATTTAAAATATAAAAAAGTCTTTAATTGTATTTTCCATTTCAAATATAATAAAAACAAATATTATCACTGTAAGGTTTCATTTTTATTAGTGCTATTAAGTGTTATTCAAGAGGTATTAATTGATGTCATTATATATTTAAAGATTAGTGGAAAAGTCCATGGGAGTGGCTTAGACTGTAATTAACATTCTATAATAATTACATGTGTTATTTGTTCTAATAGAAAGGAAAAGAAAACAACAGAATTAAGGTATTAAAATAAATGTGTATATAAAAGCAGATACATGCAAAAGAATGGCTAACTAACTATGGAATGGAGGATGCTTGAAAGAAGTCACTAATTCAAGATTACTTAAATCTTACCTTAAGATTTTGGATAGAATTTGCAAAAAGTAGGAAATCTGGAAATATTTCCTAACAATATGAAAAGATAATATATAGGAAAATAATATAAATCAGGGACAAAATTATATAGGAAACAAGAAAAGAACAATGGGGAAGCATTTGTCTATAAATAAATAGATACTAATTTTAAGGGTATAGTTACTTTAAGATGTTTTTCATAGTTTTTAAAAAATATATTTTTATTGATTTCAGAGAGGAAGGAAGAGGGAGAGAGAGATAGAAACATCCATGATGAGAGAGAATCATGAATTGGCTGCCTCCTGCATGCCCCCTACTGGGGATTGAGCCCACAACCCAGGCATGTGCCCTTGACCTGAATTGAACCTGGGACCTTTCAGTTCACAGGCTGATGCTCTATCCACTGAGCCAAACCAGCTAGGGCTTCATAAGTTTTTTTGTGTGTGTTTGTTTTGTTTTCATAACTTTTGAAGTATCAAATGTTTGAATCCAATAAGGCAATGTAGTATTCTGGCATTTGATGTTTCATTTTAATTTGTAATAGTCATATATGGCAATATATGCATTTTATAAAAGTCTTTGATAAATGCATTTTGAAATTTTAAACTTTTTAAAAGAATAATGTAGCCTGGCCGGCATGGCTCAGTGGTTGAGCTTCAACTGTAAACCTGGAGGTCATGGTTCGCTTCCCCGTCAGGTCACAGGCCAGGTTGTAGGCTCGATCCTCAGTGCGGGGTGTGCAGGAGGCAGCCAATCAGTGATTCTCATCGTTGATGTTTCTGTTTCTCTCTCCATTCCTCTTTGAAATCAATAAAAAATAATAATAAATAAATAAGAACAATGTCAAGAAAAGGTATGTGGATTTATTTATTTTTCTCTCTAAAAATATGATCAGAGTATGCATCTCTCTCTGTCTCTATATCAACAATTAAGGCTATGCTGTGCTTCTGAAAGCAGCCAGTAATATTTGTTGCAATGAGAGAAGGAATAAGTGATAAACAACTAAATATTTAATTGGTGAGACACATGGATCAATAGGACTATTTTTTTTTAATTTACCATTGAGTACTGATTATCCAAGGAATATCTTTAGCTAAAAGTTTCTTTATCTGTTTTATTGATTGAGGTAGAAAAATTATTGTGTATATTCCAAGAAAGAAAATTTCATTTAAAATGGTATCTAATTTAAATAAAATTATTTAAATAAATTCATAAAGAGGACATAGAAATCAATTACACCAAAAATGGAAGCCTGGTAGATATATTGATGCCAATATTTTAAAAATTGATTTAAAAAAACCACTATTTACTGAGACTTGCGTAGACAAGTACTGAGTGCTTGAAGTGATGGCATCAATAGCCCCCACAGAGATAGTCTATAAAATCTTCATGGTTCATGAGGCAGAATTAGGAGGTCATTTAGCTTCATTAAATGACTTTACATCATGAAAATATACATTTTTCTACTCAAAATAACTATTTTAGGTGGTTATGCCCAACTTCACAAATGCCACATTAAAAGGGGCAAAGTTTAAAATATTTTTTCTCAAAATTAATTTTTGAAATAACCCTGTAGAAATCATTTGCATCCACTTTTTAGGGAAGGGACAGAGGGTATTTTTAAAAGAACAATCAGAACTTTTTTTTCAGATAATGAGAATGATCTCAGGGAAATAAAGCCTCTTGAGTAAAGTACATTAACAAGCTTATGCCAGGAGTGTGTGTGTGTGTGTGTGTGTGTGTGTGTGTGTGTTCCAAGTCTCTAAGGGTTTTTGTTTTAAATTCCTGTTTGTGAGCATTAGGAAAGCACCCCCTTTTGTTCCTCAGACTTTCCCAGCCACCAAATTTACTCATCCAGAGAGATGATTAATGTCAGAAATTAAAATACTACGAACTCTAAAACCAGATCAGAAATAAATCCACTTGGGTAACATACAGACGTTAGATTTGAAAATCAGAGGGGAAGCTGGTTTTCTCGATGCTGTGTTGTCTAACGTGCTTTCTTTAGAGTTTCTCATTTACACAGCAGCACCCCTGCCTGATTATAATCTCAAAAACCCAGAGATCTCCCAATGGCCCTAAGCACGTGACTGGAGATCTATGCTGGGATTTGCACAGAGTCTGAGCTTTGGCCTCCTGGGATGGTCCGTAGGGACAATTACTCTGCTAGCCATAGGTAAGTTAGTCACTCAGGCGGTCCATGCTTCTGCCCTAATCCTGGCAAGGAACAAAAAAGGTTTCCTGAATCTGTAGTTTTTAAGAAACTACTATAGTTCTATCAAATGCCGGATTAACTTCATCCAAGCAACCCGTGACAGGGGTTCTGCTTAATTCTCTTATGAAGTCGCTGATTTCTATTAGTGCAACGCCTTTTCCTATTTGAAAAGTTTGGGCTGTGTTCCCCTGGCCTTTTCCCTCCTCAAACCTGTTTCTGAGTTTATTTCAAAAACCTATTTTATTTTGTTCTTTTGTTTTTGCTGTTGCTCTTCATCGTGTTCTCAAACTGCTCTGAAAACTCTACATGAGATGTAAGCAATAAAGACAGAGGGATTGTTTTCAACACATTTTGAAAATTCCATTTGTTACTTTCCCTGGTGTCGTTTTGCCTTATAATAAATTATCCATAATAAAAAAATACTACTTTTAACAAATTAGGAAAACGGTAATATCCATTGTTGTTAAAGCCTGAGAAAACAGGCTTTCTGGTGAACTAGCTAAAGTATAAAATGGGATAAACTTTCCTACAAGGGATTTGAAAAGAAAAAAGTTTCAAAAAGCATTAAAAATCTGTTAGTATTTAGCCTAGGAGGTACATCTCTAAGACAGAACTATAAAACAATGCTTTATTGAAAAATTGTTGACAGAAGCATTGTTAATATCAGCAAAAAATCAGAAATTTCCAAAAATTAAAATTGAATAAATAAATTACTGTACATATATAAGAAGACCTAGAGAGAATGACATTGAAAAGTTTTGTACAATGAAAAGGAAATTTAAAATTGTATGTATACTGTGATTCTATTTTTGTTAAAATATTATATGTGCCTATAAATACATAGAGAAATGTTTGGATATCACACTAACACATTAAATGATTTTCTAGAATACATTCTCTGTAGAAGGTCGAACAGAGATAATTCTTTTTTTCAAATTTTGTTTTTAATTATTACAATAAGCATATGTCATGTGAGCAGTATGAAAATATGTGAATGTTATTTAAACTATTGAAAGGCTAAAAAATCTAACCATGGTGAATAATTAGAACTTTTACAGATTTGCCCTGTGTGATGTGAACAGTAATTTATATAATAAAGTCTAAAAGTCAAAATTAGTTTTCATCAGATTGAATAGAACAGTGAATTGAAGATCTAGATGCACAAATGATGAGATGGATACGAAATGTCTTCCATCCTTAGATTACTAAAATAACGTTTCCCAACACCAATATCTTTCCTCAATTTTAAATTATCAGTGTTACATTTCCAGCACTTAATATTGCCTTTTCTGTCATAGTCAACATACAAATCAGAGAAGTCTTTCCCTCTGATCACCTCCAAAATCGGTGATATCTATTCTTTACTCAATATAAATAGGCATTGCAATTTAACTTTTTGGAAACAGCATGCTTAAATATCTGAGTTACTGTCATTGAGTGCATATCAATACTTAAAGAAAAGCCAATACTTACATCATTCTCTAGTCCATCAGTGCCTGTATTGTGGACGTCAGGATAGTGTTTCAGAAACTGGGCTACATAGGTCATAATAGACTTCTCATCTGGTTTATCCACATCAACATCTGGAAAAACCAAAAACAAATTAATTTATGTTAATTAGATTATAATGATACAAGCTTTGAAATCTAGCCAATCTACCAAAAACACTATACTAAAGGCAGAATAGAAACATAATTGACATTTAGAAATATTTTTGGGGGACAAATGTAGTCTGAATCATACATGGTAGAAATTGTATAATTCTTAAAGATGACATTTTAAGAGCTTTTAGAAAAGTAGTACTTGTTTCATTGGAATCTCAACATTAATTGATCAAAACCCTGAGATACTATTTGGCTATTCAGGCATTCTTCTAATTAATAAAATACACAAAATAGGTAAGTTTCAGAATTGCAGTGAGTGGGTAGCATTTAAAACACAGACGGGGCACTTAATAACGAGTGACTATCCAGCTTGTGTAACTACATCTGGCCAAATACAGACCACCCCCCCTCAAATATAGAGCCACGATATAAAAGTGTCATTTGGAGCAATAGGGCTATAGTTTGTTCCCAATTATAGCAGTAAATATTTTTTCCAAATGAAAATCAGTACAGGGAGATATTATTTATATTACGCTTTTCTCAAATTTTCGGTCCTTTCATAGAGTCGTGAAAATCATGTGTAATTTCTGTGTGTAAAACATACAAGTCTACAGAGTTGAGCAAACGCTATTGAATGTACCTTCGGGATCTAGTAACCTGGGGATCCCCAGCTCCGTTTCAGCAATGGTGAAAGCCTCCTCCAGGTTTTCTCGGTTGGACCTTCCTCTCACCCTCTCCAAGTCCACGAGCTCTGGCCGGATAGCATGGATGACTGAATGAAAGGCAACCCCGTTCCTCCAACTCCGCCCGAAGTCTTTGATTTCTATTCCGGTCTGCCTTCATGAGATTAAAAAAATAGAAAGATGTCACAGTCTGAATAGATAATATTCATTTTTTCTCAAGGCCTCGCGCAGAATCCAATGCTCTTAAGCAATAAATGATACGGGGCTAGCTATGTTAGTTAACTGGTTTTGAGAAAAATTAAGCAAAACAATATTTTAGAGGGTAAGAAGTTAAGATGTAGAAATTCTAGTGCCATACTTAAAGATTTTTATATTAGATTTTTCAGTGATAGAGATACTCAATTGAAAGCACATTTTAAAGAAAACTAGTTTAGATTAAAATGTCTAGCAAAATAATGGTCAATTATAAAAACGTATATAAAAATAACATTTTAAATAATAGTGATAAGCAAATTGTGTTGTACATGCACAGGTTATAATAGACATAATATAATAGACATTAGATGAAATAACATCACTCAGTTCTCTTTTTTTACCCTATGTTCTCAAAACTTCCATGAACTGAAGCATAAAACATATCTAACTGATAAACTGATTAGCATCAAAAGTTCATAAATGCCCTTAATTTTTATCTCAGTAAACTTAAGATTTACTTTAAATTATGTTTTAGCAATGTTCATTCAGCTTTCATTAAATACACTGTCCTAAAAATAGCATCATAAGATATAATCACTGGCTTTCTCACAAATATTTAAAAAACAATTTTGTAAGACTTCAGTATTTGTCAAGTAGTCTTGAATCCTGTCCTAGTTCTCTTAGAGTTTCTGTCTTTGGTAGTAGATTTATAATTTCTTCAGCTCACATACTGGCCAATATTCACCAAGATTGGGCAGAATGTTCTGTTATTTATTCATTTATACATTCGCCTCTGGATCCATCTTACTTTTCTATCTATATTTTCCCTTTGCCCACATTTCCTCACTTAAAAACTACATAATTTAGTAACACTAATTATATCTTCTTTATGTTTATTTTTATCTTTCCTTATTTTGGCTTTTCAAACACTTTAAAAATAGAACTCCCTGTGTTTAGGGCCTCAATATTTTATAATGATAAGTGCTTGTTTACAACTATTTTCCGGAAGTGAAGAATAAGATTCAGATTAGATTTAGGCATCCAAAACAAAACAGAAAGTGAGTTCATTTTACATGTCATTTAGGAAAATCATACAAAAGCACAGCTTCTATGTGAACAGATCTTACCATAAAATATTGCTGTGCTCAATTGAAAGCTCTACTGAAATTGCTACAAAAAGATACTTTTTCAAAGTAGTATTTTTCTACCCAGCATTATTACATAAATGTACACACACGTAAATTCACTATACCTAGAAGGAAACAAAACTAGAAGCAAATTATTGAGCCATAAAGCTGAAGTTGACAAAGAAATCCACATTCCAGCTAGAAGATGAAACCAAAGCATAAAGTGAATAAATAAAATTGCTAGGAACTTTCAGGAAATAATAGCATGTATATTTCAAAATGTGAACCTTAGTTCACATTATTACTAAAGGGAACCCAATAGTCTTACAACGAGATAACCAAGTTTAAATCTTAAATTTATTTGTGTAAAGATTATTTAAGAGGAGCAAAAGTCCAAAGCAATGACTTTAATAGAATTGTCCCGCATGCTACTAATCAAAGTGTAGGGATTAAATGACTTAATCAGACCTAGTGACATAAATGAAGAAGGAAACTGGTTTTATTACAGCATTTTCCTAGAGTATTAGTATTTACATTTTAACTCAAGGAAAGAGTGAAGCAAGACCTGAAGCAAAGCTATTCACTCAAATGTCTCTTCAAATTTTGCAGTCATGGGAAGATGCACGCGGTATGCATTGGTAACTCACGTTCTTCAAGGGTTTCAAATGGAACCCAACGCCTGGGACTTACTTGGCTGCTGTGTACTGAACCCACTTTAACAAAGCCTTCTTGGCGTTTCCTTGGATCTTGGTGGCCACCTTCCGCTTGCTGGGGGGGCTGGCGGCCTCGGAGCTGACCGTGCTGTCCACGGAGGACGTGCTGCTGGACAGGGCCTGCAGCTGCGGCAGGTTGCTGGTCAGCTCCTCGATCTATGTGGGCGGCAAAGGTGGGCGAAGATTTAGGAATTATCTTTGTTCTTATTTCCTTGGATGTTTCACTTTTCCAACTAAAAATGCTTTATCTTGCCCTAACCAGTTTGGCTCAGTGGATAGAGCGTCGGCCTGCGGACTCAAGGACCCCAGGTTCAATTCTGGTCAAGGGCATGTACCTTGATTGTGGGCACATACCCAGTAGGGAGTGTGCAGGAGGCAGCTGACAGATGTTTCTCTCTCATCTATGTTTCTAACTCTCTATCCCTCTCCTTTCCCTCTCCCTTCTTCTCTGTAAAAAATCAATAAAATATATTTAAAAGAATGCTTTATCTTAACTCCCTTAACACTGTTGACAAAAGGTAAGTTTTTAAAGGCAGGATGGATGTATGTTCTACTCCTTGTACTTCTTGCTGTATTTAGAACTACACCTCTGTGTCTTATACACAGTAATAAACACTCTAATCCATGCGAATTAATAAATAAAACCTAACAGTTATCCAAACTCATGGAATATACAACACCAAAAGGGAAGCCTAATAATAACTGCAGACTTTGATTGATAATGATGTGTCAATATAGGCTCATTAATTCTCAAAAATATATGGCTTTGGCCAGGATGTTGATTATGGGGTGGCAATGCATGTGTGGGTGTAGGGTTATAGAGGAAATCTCTGTACCTTAGGTTCAATTTTGCTGTAAACATAAAGCTGCTCTAAAAAATGAAGGCTAGACTGGCCAGTGTGGTTCAGTGGTTGAGCACTGACCTGTGAACCAAGAGGTCACAGTTTGATTCCCTGTTAGGGCCCATGCCTGGGATGTGGGCTCGATTTTCAGTGTGGGGCGTGCAGGAGGCAGCGAATCAATGATTTTCTCTCATCATCGATGTTTCTATCTCTCTCTCCTCCCTTCCTCTCAGAAATCAATAAAAAATATATTGTAAGAAATGAAGGCTAGAACTGTTATTCTGGATGGGATGGCAAGTTAATTTCTCTCCTTAATGTCTAACAGGAGCATAGACCTGCTCTCTTTCAGACAAAGAAAAGCGTTCTGAGCTTGCTATAGCAATATTTCATCTTCACTGTGTCCTGCCCTCTTTTCAGATAGGGTACTTATGCCAGAATTCTTCAGGGAGGTACATGTACAACTGCTTTAGAGAGAAGAGGAGGAAATTCTGCTACCAAAAACCTATGTATGCGTGAAGGTCAGATTTCTGCCAGCTTGAGAATCAACCTCAAAAGTAAGACAAATGACAGCATTATTAAAATGCCCACCATTACTTCCCTCCATGACACTATATCAATAATGAGGGAGCTTTGGCACAATACCTGGAAGTAGAGAATAATGGTCCACACCAGTCCCAGAACTATTGAGGGTCGGCCGTCGGCAATATCAGTGGAGTTAATGTTGACTAATTTGATCTGTTTAAAAAGAAACACTGTGCTAGCAATGCACTAGAGATTATAACCCATTTCATTATGCAATGATGTGCACTTTATTAGACATCAATAAGACTTGGTCATGCCTGTGTAGTGATACACACGAGTAAGTAGGGTGAGCCATAATAAAAGCAACAAACACATGGTTTCAGTGGGAATTTCAGGAGCATTCATTAGGTGCACACAATAAAATTAACCACAAAATGAAATTAAAAACTTTAAATTGAAAAATATGACATCATGCAAGGGATTACCAACAAAATACCAGACAGAAAAAAAAAAGAAAAGGTTATTCTTTACATTCAAAACTTGACTGGAACTTAAAAGAAACTGTGATGAATAATTTAAGAAGATGCACTTACTTTGAAGTTTGTTACCAAATAGCATGAAACTTATGTTCTCTTTTACCTATAAAAGTCGGGAGTTAAAAATTCTAAAAATTGTACTAACCGGTGATCCTCTGTACATGGACTGACATGAAAGGCAAAGGGAGAAGATGATATATACAAAAAATAATCTTTGAAAACCAGCATTATTTGTTCAAAGGGAATAAAAACGTAGGAAGTAAATTTAGAGCATTATTTGCAGAATACATTTTAAAGACAAATGAAAGCCAAGAAGTAGTAAAGTAGAAAGAGACCGATTGTGTTTAGTTCCCTATTTGGGGCATTGATAATTATTAACTATTCAAGACACGTGTCAAAAAAGTTATTTCCTCAGTCCTAGAAAAATGAATTTTATCTCAGTCAATCACCATAGAATACAATTAGAACTATTTATCCTTTTTATAATCTCTAAACAAAGACCAAAATTAATAATAAAGTACTTCTTAAACTTCTATCTCAATAATTCTCAGCCACAATTTCATTAGCTGTTTTATTAATTGCATCACTGTTTCTGTTTGAATGATATTAGAAGTAACCTAAGTGCTCATTCACAGGAGAGTGGTTAAATAAACTCTGGTACATCCAGACCATGGAATACTATGCAGCTGCGAAGATGAATAAGGAAGCTGTCCATGAACTGACTCGGATGGTTTCCAGGATATGCTGTTAAATTTAAAAAGCAAAGTGTGAGAGTGCATCAATAGCATACTCCCCTCATGTCAAAAAGAAGGTGGTATATGAAGAAACATCTGCTCATCTGTGCAAAAGAAATACAAGCATGATAAATGAGAAGCTAGGGAGACTAGTTACCTAGACATGTGAAAGGAAATGCAAGGGAAAGAATGATAATGGAGAAATAAGGATGAGGAAGACACTTCTCTAAGTATAACTTTTGCTCTTACTAATAGAATCATAGTAACGATCTCATTCCACCCCCATCCCCCGCCCCCAAATTAGTCAACTAGAATGTGTGTGTTGGGGGGAGGTTCTGAAAAATGGGATATAACTCTATTTCAATGAGTAACACTAAAAGGGACAGGAAGAACAGAAGCAACCTAAGTAAATTTAGAAGCAGTTTTTGGACTGGATATTGTAATGATAAGGACCAAGCGAACTGCACGCAAATACTGTTCTCCAGTTAGTCAATCTGTTTCTCACAAGGACATGGGCCAGCAATTCTGAAACTATTTTATGTGCATAATAGGGTTGAAAAATAAGTGAGTATATTGTAGATGACAGCCAGATTCTCATTATAAGAGAAAGCAGAAACAAACACGCATGGAAAACTAGAATAAACCTGTGGTGCTGAGTTGAAATATCAGTTTGAAATAATGGTTTATACACATCTATATAGAAGTATCAGTTTGAAATAATGATTTATACACATGTATATGGGAGAAGTGAGTGAGCGCGTGAGAGGGATATCCCCAGGTTGGTACACATATTTTCTAGATCTGTCTGTTGGAGGGCCTGGGAGAGGTGAAACCTCAGTAGCAATGAGCACACCTAGCACTCAAACCTGCGTTTCTAAATGCCATTTGCTAATTAAAGGGCCCAAGCTTCCTTAGAGAAGGACTGGGGCAGGAAAATACAAGATACGCAGGAGCCAGACTGAAGAAGCTTAATGGCCAAAATTTGAACAAACTAATAAATTAAAACTATAGAATAAAATAAATATCCACGAGTTTGTGCTAAAATAAGTAACTGAATAATTAATTGGAGGAAAAAAGAAAATAATTTCTTACATTAAAAATGAGGGAAATATAAAATCACCATTAGGCAAACAGCACAGAAATAATTACTGAAGATAATCAATGCTAAAATTAGTGAGCAAAGTTTAAGAATAAACAGAATATTAGCCTGATGTCAATGACCTCCCTTAAGTTCTTTCTCAGTTATAATATAAAGAGAAAATAATAATTTTACCATAAAAGAAACACAGCAAATGTCCTTACCATTGATCAGGATTAACATGACCAGCAATGAGACTTATCAGTATCCTATATCCACTAATATGATGCACAGACAAGAATATATCACCTCCTTGGAATTCTTGGAAAATATGCATCACTTCAATATAATCATAAAATTGAGAAGCATTTTTCAAGATAACTGACCCCCCAGTTATCAAAAGTGTCAAAGTTATGAAAGACTAGGAAAGAATGAACAAGTAACATAGAGTGGAAGGGACAAAGGGTCAAATGCAAGGTGTGTGATTCGTTGTATCCTGAAGAGAAATAAGACATTGGAGGAAAACGGGTGAAATCAGACTATTGTCTATGCTTTTAGTTCATAGTATCAGACCAACTTGAAGTTCCGTATTTTGATAACTGTACTCTGTAATGTACTATGTATAAGTTGTTAGAGGGAGGTGCATGAAGCATAGACATGAAATCACTGTACCCCTTTTTGGCACTTTTCTGTACATCTAAAATTATTTTTACAATAATACTGCCTGTGTGTGTAGATCACATGCAGAGTTTTCACTCTGCAGCCAATATTGAAAACATCTGTATGCCCACACCTTCTTCTTCAAGTGTTTTGGTTTTGCCTCTCTTACCCTCCTTCCTTCAAGGAACTTCAGCGCAGTGCCGATGTTAGCCACAGCGTGGATCCGCTTCATACGGCGTCCTTGTTCACACGGCTATGAAAGGAGAATAGGAATAGATCAAAATGCACACATTCAGGAGATGGCTCAATAAAAGATAAAGAAAGACTTATAAGATATATTTAAGTGTATTTAAACACTCTTGGAGAATATTCAAGAACAACCAGCATTACTTAATTTCTATAAAGATGGGCAGGTATATGAAGGGGCATTATCCACACAGCACCTTAAAAGTTTACTGATATACTCAATAAAGGCCTTTCAGGTTTCTGTATGTCTTAGACTGGAAATTCACAAAATTCCTATGCTGTCTACTGACACTGTGTCTTAGAATGGAAATTCACAAAATTCCTATGCTGTCTACTGACACTGTCATCCTATAAAGTAGGAAATCTATATATATATAAGCCTAAGCGACCAGCTGACCAGCCAGTAACTGTGATGCACATTGACCACCAGGGGGCAGATGCTTAACACACAGGCATGGAGACATGGAACAAACTGATAAATCTCAGAGGGAAGGGGGGAGGGGGAAGGGCAGGGATAGATTAACCAAAGATCTTATATACATACTAGAGGCCTGGTGCACAGATCTGTGCACTGGTGGGGTCCTTCGGCCTGGCCTGCGGGGATTGGGCCAAAACCAGCTCTCCAACATTCCCCAAGAGGTCCCGGATTGCGAGAGGGCACGTGCCAGGCCGAGGGACCCAATGGTGCATGAATCTGTGCACCGGGCCTCTACTATTTATATGAAAAGTAGCCTTTATGTGAGGGCCTGGGGTATACAGGAAATCTCTGTACTTTTCTTGTAAATTTGTTGTAAATCTGAAACTACTCTAAAAAAAATTAAGCCTTTGAAAAGGTACTCTTGGTAACTCACCATTTTTTTTTTCAGTTACACTGACATGAAAGGTTATTGACAATGTTATAACATTTCTAGATTTAGATGATCAAAATATACAGGCCAAGGTTAAAATGTAGGATTGTGAGATTGAAAATATTATCTACACAAATGTATGTTCTGATTACTTATGTCTGAGTTACTAAAATTATCATGTGCTTTCTATGGACCACAATGCTAATTTTAAAACTCAAAATAATTTAAATAATGGAGATAGGATTAGCCTCCTTTACATTGATAGGAACCAAGTGGATAATTGAGGTGAAGTAATATCTCCATTATCGCATAGCTGGTAAACTGTTTCCTTTCCGTGACACCAGACCCTAACTGATCTCCCATTGCAGCTCAAACCGAGTACCTTTTACTTCCCGATTATAGTGTACTAGGCAAACAATTGTATGATATTCTAAACAAATATTTAAATAGAAAATTTACTTTTTACATTTTTGACTTTTATTTATTCTTTACTTTGGAACCTCTGTTATACATGACATAGTCCTACCATTGATCCACACATGGCCCATTTATTTCCTTGTTGTTTGTTTTTAATCCTCACCCGAGGATATTTTTCCTTTGATCTTTTAGAGAGAGTGGAAGAGGGAGGGAAAGACAGAGAGAAACATTGAAGTGAGAGAAACACATCAATTGGTTGCCTCCTGCGTGTGTCCTGACCAGGGCCCGGCCAGGGAGAACCTGCAAGCAAGGTACGTGCCCTTTGGTCTGCAGGCCCACACTCTATCCACTGAGCCAAACCAGCTAGCGCTAGTTATTTATTTAATTAGTTATTTTTTTATAATGTAAAAAGCACCTATAAACCTGCCAACTGAACAAAGCCAGGATCCAGAAATTAGGTATGAAAGCCAATAATGCCATCATTCAGTTCATTCATCTATCTGCCTTCCTACATCTATGGCAACCATCACCCTAAATCTAGTCCAATGCCTTTCTTTTATATAAATTCATTTCATGTATATGCATTATTAAAAATAATATTTTTTTAGTTTTTACATTTATATAAAGGTTATCACTGCATTAATCTTTTGAGACTTATTTTTCCACATAATATTTTATTCCTAAGGTTCATCGAAGTCGTTGCCTGTCACTATATTTCATTCATTTTGACAGCTATATTATGTGCCATGTAACTCCTCTCCTTTTGAAGTAACTGGGTTATTTTCAGGTTATGTCTGTTTTGACCTATGCTAATGTACAATGGCAGAATTATATTGGCACTTAGAATAGTATACTTCTTAAATACATCCATTTGAATTGTAATAAGGTTTCCTTCAGCCTTCTAGGAAACAGCATAATTCAGGAGGATATATACACATGACCAGCTATATGTGGCAATCAAGGGAGTATGTATTTCAGTTCAATGCCTCTTACACCCTAACACTTATCAGCGTATGTAGTTCATGCATACATCTGTATCTTCCAAACTGGCTGTTCATGTGTCTTGTTCGATTTCCCCCAAAGCAGAGCCTGAGGAAAGGACTTGGCTGCCTGTAGTTTATTGGGGAGATGATCCCAGGAAGCAAGAGTGAGGATTCGTGAAAAGTGAAACAAGGAAGTGGGAAAAGCTAACAAAGGGTGTGCTCTGGAGGGTCCCACTGTGGGCAACTGGGCTCAGTTCCCCTGGGGGTCCCACTGGGCGCTCTATGAGATCTGTAAATCGGCCTCAGAACCATTCCTCCTGCAAGTGCCCGGCTGGAGCATTTATTCACGAACTCCTACTGCCATTGGTTGAGGGTCCTCGGGGACCGTTAATTCTCCTATACTTGAGGGCTGCCTGGTGCAATCTGTGGCTCTGATAAGTCCGGAGGGCAGAATCCCAGAGATATGCTACCAGTGCTTGAGATCCGATGCTGGTGGGGGGCCTGGGTAATGCCGCCACTGCGTGGCTGAAATCAGACGTGAGCAGAGATGGCATCCGGGCCCCGGGAAGCATCTGCTAGGAATCAAACTAGAAAATGACTTACACAACATTACTATCAGTTTGTATGTTTCAATAAACAACCTCTTCCAAAAGCTATTTTGAGGACTCTCTTCACAACATTAACTAGAAATTTTATGTTCAGGCAAAAGCAATAAAAAAAACACACCACTAAGTTACCCAAGAAATAATGATTGTGTAGCACCTGTCAAGATGCAATAGATACAGAAAAAGATAAGTACTCCCAATTTTGAACCCTTTGTATACAACATGATGAAGACCGTTTCCTGAGCTCCTTTCTCTAATCATGGTAAACAGCATTTATAATAGCTTATGTTTGCAAACTACTTATTTCTCTATCACTCTGAAATAAAAATAAATATAATCCAGAAAAAAATATTTTATGATTTGAGTACTGGAGGAAAAACGTAGCGCTCACTGTCAGTGTTGTTTTGCACTCTGCCGCTTTCGCTGTGTCTGAAAGCAAATGATTCAGAACGTGCTGTTCCTGTGACAAAGCACTGGTGTTGGAGGGTGGCCACAAGCTTATGAAAAATTGCCGCGTTGATTTCATCTCACTTTTCAACAAAGGGCAATATAAACACACCGGAATGGACCAACACTCCTTTCCACATGGCCAGCTAACACTCGCTAACAAGTGAGGTAGATGTCCCTGTACAACCAAGCTGCCTGGGTACCACACGGACGCAAGAGTTAACCATGATTGACTGACTACTGAGGAGGTCTCTGCTCTTAGTGCTAAGGTTGCTGTATACACTGTTTTAAACCTACTAAAGGTGTGAAGGAACAAGAAAGGGATGTATTCCTTGCTCCCAGAAGTGACCAATAGACTAGTGTTTCCTGCATCTTACTGACTACGAGAGAAAAACTTTATCTTATGTAGGCAGAGTCCCTTCCACTCCCAACTCCACCGCCGCCAATTCCAGATGGGAAGAATTCGATGAGTCTGGTCACAGAAAAAATTCTTACCAGTTTCTGCCCCGACAGGACTTCCAGGAGAGCAAGCAGCTTAACACCATCTTTCATGTCCTCAAAAAGATCTTCTACCACCAGTGCGGGTTTCCGCTGTAAAGTGAAAAAAAAGAATAAATGCAAAAACTGCCTGTCTCTTTCTGTCAGACCTTTGCTACTCACTGTGGTGAAATTTGTAGGGAGATTTCTAAAATACCTAAATGATTTACTTTGGATATGATTGGCAATTACCTTTTGATAGCTGTAAGGAGAAAAACAATCCTTTGGAGACAAACTTAACATTCAAAAACTACGGGAGACTTGATGCTGGGGCTTTCACACACATACAAGCATCTTCCCAGAAAGGGATTTCGTCCAGGATGGGCTGTGTGGAATAAGGGAAGGGAAAGAGGGCACTCTCAGTGCAAAAGATGGGAGACATTACAGCAGGGCCTAAAAGGGGAGCAGGAGGTGCTGCAGCTAAACTGAACCATCTTCCCACTTCACTGAGCGAGCATACTGGTACTTCTGGGTTTGAACCAGGTGCCGACCTCCAGAGGACACTCTCTCTAGGTGAACTCCCAGCTCAGTGACCTGCAGTGGGAGCCCTGCTAGCACAGGCAAGGGCACAGCTTTCACCTCTGGCGGGTCAGCTGGCTGTGTTCTGTTTCACAGCCTGGCAAACCTTTTCTCACCGTGTGGCTTTGAACTCAGAGGATCCTAAGTGCAAGAGTACAGACTAACCAGGGCAAAAGCATCAGCCCCACTGGAAAAAGAAATCAACGCCCACTTACAATTCATAGAGGGTCTTATTGTTTATGAAGGTCATTAAAATATGTAATATGCTGGGGTTCATTGACCTTGAACTAAGGTCTGTCTTGGCTCAGAAGAAAGTAAAGAAGTGATGATGCTCATCAGATTTCTCAGAGAACAATGTTTTTTTCTATGTATCACCTGGGTTCAATCTCTGTAGTTTTCTGATTCTGAGTCATGTTAAAGGCCTGCTGCTGGATTCCTGACTTTCCATTTTCTCTCTTTAAAAGAAGAGGTTTTTATGTAGCCAAGTGTTTTATTGAAATGTGACTTTTTTCGCTACCCACTGACATGAAGCATTTACATTTCTCTTATGACTGCATGAATTATTCTCTGAATGGTGCAATTCCAATTTTAAACACATTTCTCTCCCTTTATAAATTGAAGGGCTGAATACATTTTGTTCTCATGCTGTGAAATACATGTTCAAAAATAACAGTTTTCATTGGTAATCATTCTCTTTTAAATTCCACTGTTGACATTGCTTATTATTTATGTAGCAAAAATGTAATAGTGACTTTATATTCTAAGCATATAAATAAAATTATTCAGGATAAAATGAGCCATTGCAATGAAAACTATTCCATGTAATAAGAATCAAAATTATTGTGTGAGCTATACATAATCATTAGAAATATGGCCTACTTATCATTGCAAATGTCCATTTGCATCTTAAAATTTAAAAACAGTTGAAAATGAGGAAAAAGTTCTTACATATGTAATATATTCAGTGAACAAATACAAATAAAGTTTTTCACAGATTGTGTTAACCTGAAAATATATTTAAAAAAATTGAAGTGGAGAATTTTCATGAAATAATAAATATGCCAAGACATTTGATCCCCAAAAGCAATAAATTGCATCCACACGTCCATTTTGCCTTAAATATACACAGGCCTCTGCCACTCTGCAGGACATTTTCTCTGGACCTCATTCCTGCCTGTCCTGTTTCTCCTCTACCATGCTCACTGCTTCCTTCCCCGCCAGCTGCTCCTGCCCAGCTCCTGGGAGCAGCCCTCACACCAGCAGTGACCACTGAGCAGTTCCGCAGCCCACTAGCGTTTCTGGTTTCAGCTTTGCTGGTATCATTGTCCCCTGGATCTGCTCCTCCCAAAACCTCTTTGACCAGCTTGCCTGGCATCCAGGCCTCTTTTCCTCCTCTCTCTCTTTTGTTCCTATCTATGGCCAATCACCAAACTCAATCCCAACTTCTCTGGCCTTTAAGAAACTGTGCCTGGATGGGCACAACCCTTCAATCCTTCCGTAAGTGTTCTCTCCTAAACACTGTTGAGCATATGGTAGGCACTCATTGTGTGCTGTAGGCTAACTGAAAGAATGTAATTTTCTCTTAATGGATCTTTAAATGTGATATATATATATGGCAAAGAAAAATGGTTTCTGGGTTCTAGGCAATCACAGACTCTCACACAACACAGACCTAGAAGTATCTTGTTTCTGAATTCCTTGGTCTCAGTAGGAACTCGTTAAATACTTGTTGAAGGAATGAATGAATGAATTTTTCAGTCTGTGCATGGGAAAGAAGAGTAGATGATTTTATTTGAACACAAATACCTAGAATACCTTTACTTTCCTCTTTTTCTTCTTAGCAAATTCCTGGTCAGTTTTCATCACTCAGTTTATATGTAATCTTTTTCAGTTATTCAATTAGAAGTAACTACTTCTTCTGTCCCAGGTATGCTGTTCAGATGACAAGGATCACATTCTTTTATAGTTAGCTATTACAAACCTGTGTCCCTAGTGACTCAGATCGTGAGAAGTCGAATTTATCTTTATATACTTAGTACCGGGCACAGTGCTCAGCACTAGTTGCCAGTAAATATGTGGTTAGTGACTAAAATGCACTCAGCAGGGGTATTTACAAATATCTTTTGGAATCTTAGGGAGGAGATAGGCACAAATAAAATCATAATGCCAAAATCTCTCTTTTTGTGGGAAATATGAGTTGTTTCTGAAAAATTTCCCACAGTGTCTTCCTACACAAAGTGAGGAGATGCAGTCTGAGGGCTATCAACACACAAAATAGAGGCAGAGCAGCATCGACCAGACTGTCAAACTACAGCGGGAAGGCTGGGGAGGGTTGGGGGGGCGTTAAGAGATCAACCGAAGGACTTGTATGCATGCATATAAGCATAACCAATGGACACAAGCCACTGGGGGGTAGGGGAGGCCAGGGGAAGGTCAAGGGGGGAAAAAAGAAGGAGACATATGTAATACTCTTTGTAATACCTTAAGCAATAAAACAAAATTTAAAAAACCACAGAAATTAGGGAAAAATATGTCCATTTAAAATAAAAACGCTTATGTCAATTTAATTAGTAATATATAGGTTTTATATTTTAAGCACACTGAATTACAGGATCTAGCATTATGTAATCAATTTTTTATTTAATACATTAACATGTAAAAGAGGGAGAAAATAAACCTCTGGCCAACCTACTGCAAAGAATTGCCAAAAATACACACTAATGAATTATATATATGATTTCAGAAAGGAAGGGAGAGGGAGAAAGAGATAGAAACATCAATGATGAGAGAGAATCATTGATTGTCTGCCTCTGGTACTCCCCCTACTGGGGATCAAGCCTGTAACTGGGGCACGTGCCTGACAGGGAATTGAACTGTGACCTCCTGGTTCATAGGTCAACACTCAACCACCAAGCACATCGGCCCAACTAGTGAATGATCTTTATATTTCTACAAGCACTATCCAATTGCACATAAGTATTGTGTGAAACCAAAACACAAAACAAAACAAAAACAACTCCTCCATTTATCAAAAATTACATGAGAATAAAAAAGTCCTACTAATGATTGAACAAGCTGAACAAGCTTTGCTATCCCTTTTTGCTTAAAGCATTATTTACAGCTAGAGGCCCAGTGCACAAAAATTTGTGCACTCCGGGGGGTCCCTCAGCCCAGCCTGTATCCTCTCGCAGTCTGGGACCCCTCGGAGGATGTCCACCTGCTGGCTTAGGCCCGCTCCCCGGGGGATTGGGACTAAGCTGGCAGTCAGACATCCCTCTGGCAGCCTGGGAGCCCTCGGGGGATGTCCACTTGCCAGCGGGGAGCAGGCCTAAGCTGCAGTCGGACATCCTTAGCGCTGCTGAGGAGGCGGTGAGGCTCCTGCCACCACTGCTGTGCTGGCAGCTGTCAGCCTGGCTTGTGGCTGAGCAGAGCTCCCCCTGTGGGAGTGCACTGACAACCAGGGGGCAGCTCCTGCATTGAGAATCTGCGCCCTGGTGGTCAGTGTGTGTCATAGTGACCAGTCATTCCCAGTCATTCTGCTGTTAGGGTCAATTTGCATATTACCCTTTTATTATATAGGATAGAGGCCTGGTGCACGGGTGGGGGCTGGCTGGTTTGCCCTGAAGGGTGTCCTGGATCAGGGTGGGGGTCCCTCTGGGGTTCCTGGCCAGCCTGAGTGAGGGGCTGAGGGCCTTTTTCAGGCTGGCCACAGCTGCGGGCTGGAAGCAGGTATCTGGGATTTATTTATCTTCTATAATTGAAACTTTGTAGCCTTGAGCGGAGCTCAGGGCCGGCAGGGCTGGCGGGAAGCTTGGCTTTCTCCATCGCCAGGGACAACCCAAGCCTTCTGCTCGCTCCAGCTCCATGGCCGCCGCCATCTTAGTTGGGTTAATTTGTATATCTGCTCCTGATTGGCTGGTGGGCGAGGCTTGTGGGTGTGGCTTGTGGGTGTGGCGGAGGTACTCAATTCTCTTTTATTAGATTAGATAACAAATGATCAGTTAGAGGAGACCTGTACTATTGTGGCTGCTCATACTGTTTTGTGTGTGGCAATGTTATATCATACTTTTTTGTGTGTATGCAATGTTATAATAGAAAACCTCCCAGCTAACATGTCTCTCCTGTCACATATGTAAGCACTTATGGCGCCAATCTGATTACCGTGGTAGATTCAGGTCATGGTCCTGGAAGCCAAGAGGGAGATTCAGAAAGGAGGGCAATTTATTGGAGTCTGAGTTAATGGAAAATAAAGATAATGTGGTTTTGTTGCTCACTAATTTGCAGTTTCGGGCACTAGATAGAGATCTATAAGGCACTTTTCAAGAGCACAATTATCTTTTTTTTTATTAAGATAAAATTATGAAAAACTTTTTTTGGTAAAGTGTTTGGAAAAATTCTCTTCCTCTTGGCCCTGTCAGTCACATTCAGATACTCTACAGATATTCACGCTGAATCTGAGGTCATTAGGAGAATGGAGCCTCCTGACTGGGTGAGGGAGACGGAGATGGGAGAGAAGGAAAGGAGAAAGAGGTACT